ACATTTGTATTCAAGGCATTGATGCGCAGTTCAGCTTGATTTAGTAAGTGTCCAGGTCTTGCAGGCGTGTGTTACAATGGAAAAGATGCAAGCTCTAAGAAATATAATTTTTGTAGTTTTGTCTGTCTCACTCCATAATTTACCCAGCTGTTTTAGTCTTTGAAGAGCAACTGATAGTCTCATTTAAATTCTTTCATTGCGTCACCATTGTTGGTAATCATTGACCCAAGACTTTCAAAATTGTCCACACCCTCCAATCTGTCCTCATTAACACATCAACATTGTCCACACCCTCCAATCTGTCCTCATTAACACATCAACATTGTCCACACCCTCCAATCTGTCCTCATTAACACATCAACATTGTCCACACCCTCCAATCTGTCCTCATTAACACATATTACTATCTCCCTAGTAGTTTTATCTGTATCCATTAACCAGAACTTGCTCCATTACTACTTAATTACCAACAAACTGCCCTTTACATTTACAAGACTCATAAATATCATCATCATCATTACCGATTTCTGCGGCGGGGAGGAATAATTTGCGATCTGGTGCCGCTGGCTATTATCATGCGGTGAAGGCATAGTGTTTTTAATGCTGTTGATCCATATTTTCGCAGTCGTCCTCTTGCTCTTGCAGCTGATCTTCTGAGATGTAGTGCTTGTGATAGTATTTGATCTTGCTGCATTTTAACAAGATGGCCAAACCACTGGTTCTGTTGTTTCAACAAGAGTATCCCATAGACAAGCGATTTTAAAATGCAGAATGCAGGAAGACTGCAGTTACCAAGTTATGGCTGTTAAAATATACAGAAAATTCACTTAATACACTTGCCTTCTTATTACTGTCTGATATAACTGAATAAACTGCGTACCCTGCATGTAACAATTGAAGCTGCGAGACAGGAAACCATGCAAGGGCCAACTGTCGTTACATGAACCAGAAAAGAATGGGAGTTGTTAGCCTAAAAACACTGGGAGCAATCCAACTGGAGCACTTATGGTCATATCTGATGTGCAATGACGATGATCTTTAAACAATGAACTATTTCATAGCACCATATACCTAAGGCATGAAAAGAACCCTTTACTTCAGCAAGGCTATTATACAGAAAAAAGTTATTAATCATAAAATGCACACGCACAAAGACTGCAGTTAACCAAGTTATTTCTTGGTGAAACTGACCACTTTTGTCACGGGGAGACACTATCACAGAAGTTCTTTACACAACACTTACCACCTTATGCAGCACACATTTTGGTACAGCACTACAAGTAGCAGTGTTAAACATCAGGGAACATTTACATATTTATGTGAACACCCGAGCATATTACAGATTCATGAATTCTCTAGAACACAGCACAAAATGATTCAGTATCCAATACATATTACAGATTCACAAACTAAAAACATATGCATGAAACAGAAGTTGAAACATTTGCATGAATAGAACTAGAACTCATTACAGATTTGGGAATAATGTAGAAAAACTATACAGATGTGTGAACAATCTGCAACACTCAACAGATATGTGGAAAAATAAAACACATGTGTGTATAATACAGAATAACAAAACAGATAGGTGAATACAGGATTTAACAAAAACAGAGAGGTAAATACAGAATACCAAAACAGATAGTTGAATATAGAATAATGAAACAAGTGAATGTAGAATAACAAAACAGATAGTTGAATATAGAATAATGAAACAAGTGAATGTAGAATAACAAAACAGAGAGGTGAATACAGGATAACAATAGATAGGTGAATGTAAAATAACAAAAAAGACAAGTGAATGTGGAATAACAAAACAGATAGATGAATGTATAATAACACAACAGAGAGGCAAATATTATATAACAAAATAATTGCACGGATAATCTATATCCTCAGTACAGATTTGTGAACCTGTACAAGAGTGTTCACGCTGCGGCACCAACACCCTAGAACATTCATGATATTGTAACAATGTTCTACATCAGTCATCATGCTGTAACGATGTTCTAGAACATTCTAATACTATAGGAATGATCTAAAGCCTTCATGCTGCTGTAACATTCCTGAAGAGCTTTTATGATGCTGCAACATGGCTTTAGAATATTCTAAAACATTCATGATGCTGCAACAATGTTCTAAGACACATTCAGGATAATATAAGAATGTTATAAAGCCATCATAATGCTCTAACAATGTTCTAGACACATTCAGGATAATATAAGAATGTTATAAAGCCATCATAATGCTCTAACAATGTTCTAGACACATTCAGGATAATATAAGAATGTTATAAAGCCATCATAATGCTCTAACAATGTTCTAGACACATTCAGGATAATATAAGAATGTTATAAAGCCATCATAATGCTCTAACAATGTTGTAGACACATTCAGGATAATACAAGAATGTTATAAAGCCATCATAATGCTCTAACAATGTTCTAAGACACATTCAGGATAATACAAGAATGTTCTAGCGTCTTCACGCTGCAGTAACAATGTCATAGGCACATTCATGGTACTGTAACATTCATGTAGAGATTCACAATCCAGTAACAAATTTCTGTGTAGAGTATGTATAACCCTGCTTTTAGAATATTTGTAATTCTGTAACAATATTCTAGAGCTTTCATGGTATTGAAAAATTCCTGCAGATCTTTCATGATATGTTAACAATCTTCTAGCATTCAAGATACTATCAATAACTCATTAAATCAGTTATAGAAAAATTATGTTTTATTTGCACTCTGTACAACTTAATATATTTGTGTTCTAACACAATCTGCAATTCTGTTCTGGATAATCCTGTGACTGGTATTTTAGCTGATTATGTGTGTGTTCTAGAATCTATATAATTCAATTATATGTGCTTTGTTTTAAAAATTATTAAATTTGAATGTTGAATTAAAAATCGACATAACAGCATAGGGGACACTGCCATAAGTGCTCAGTCCCCATCAAGCGAAAAGTTTCAATTCCGATGGAACCAGTAACTGTCTGATTGTATAACCCTCTTATCCTTCCCCTGAGTGTTGAGCATCAGCCAGATCGCCTGGTAACTCCTCGCAGCACCATTCTCCTTAGACAATAACAATTTATCTGCGCCTCCACACTGTTCACTAGCCCCCCCCCCCTCCCCCACACTGTTCACTAGCCCCCCCCCCCCACTGTTCACTAGCCCCCCCACACTGTTCACTAGCCCCCCACACTGTTCACTAGCCCCCCACACTGTTCACTAGCCCCCCCACACTGTTCACTAGCCCCCACACTGTTCACTAGCCCCCCCCCCCCCACACAGTTCACTAGCCCCCCCCCCCCCCCCCACTGTTTCACTAGCCCCCCACACTGTTCACTAGCCCCCCACACTGTTCACTAGCCCCCCCCCCCCCACACTGTTCACTAGCCCCCCACACTGTTCACTAGCCCCCCACACTGTTCACTAGCCCCCCCCCCCCCCCCCCCCACATTGTTCACTAGCCCCCCACACTGTTCACTAGCCCCCCCCCCCCCCCCACACTGTTCACTAGCCCCCCCCACACTGTTCACTAGCCCCCCCCACACTATTCACTAGCCCCCCACACTGTTCACTAGCCCCCCACACTGTTCACTAGCCCCCCCCCCCCCACACTGTTCACTAGCCCCCCACACTGTTCACTAGCCCCCCACACTGTTCACTAGCCCCCAAAGGGCTGGATAACTCAGACAATATATGATATTAGATAACTCAGACAATATATGATATTAGATAACTCAGACAATATATGATATTAGAGAATTCAAACAATAAAATTAAATGGGCTTTGCATAACTCATTACATATTTTCTAGCCAAATCTGCAATCAAGTTCTAGATAATTCAATAGTCTGTATTCTGTATTATGATTCATTACATGAGTTTTAGAGCAATCAGTAATTCTCTTCTAGATATTTCATAGATGTGCACTGTGAATAACACTCATTACATGTATTCTAGAGAAGCTATGGTCTAAATCAGAGATATTCAGCTGGTGGCTCGCAAGTGGGCTGAGGATCACTGTCAGTTGTATTGTGTTAATGATCTTTCTATTCTGGGATTCAGACCTCTGGCCCATAACGATTCCAGTTTTCAAAATTGTATCCCCTGAGCGAACTTAGTTATATAGCTCTGGTGCATCATTATCATCATATAGCAGGTCTTTTGCAGAATGCCGCTATAATCACGATCTGCCTGAAAGAAACTCAGTCTCTCGCCAGTTCTCCCTCCTCATGTACTTTCATACTCAAGGAGTCACTTATATCCTGTGCCCATCTGCCCCTTCTTCCTGGTACCATGCCTTCTGCTATAATTTTGTTCCATCTGTTGTGGTGCTTGATATGACAGCTCTGGTGCAGATAATGTAATTATCTACACTTTGTGTTATAACAGATTAGATATATTGTAGAGTTGAGTTGAGTCAAGAATTGACATCACAGCACTCAGAGCATTCTCATACATGCTCTGTCCTCATCTTCAGCAGCCAGCATAGACTTCCAATACTGATGGTACCAGTCACAATCTGGTTATATGTTTGTCTTGCTTTTCCCCCGAGTGTAGTGACCCGGCCAGACCCTCTGGTTACACCCAGATGCCTCATTTTCTCCAGGCCATAATAATCTTGCTTCTCTACTGATTCCGTTGCTTGTTTCCCAAAGGGCCTTGACCACATCTGCCTTGTCTATATTCTAAAGAAACAATGTTCTAAATAATTTATTAATATGCACACTATATATTTCATGTGTTCTAAAGCATCCATTCACATAAAAATGCAGTGTTCTAAAGCATCCATTCACATAAAACTGCAGTGTTCTAAAGCATCCATTCACATAAAACTGCAGTGTACTAAAGCATCCATTCACATAAAACTGCAGTGTTCTAAAGCATCCATTCACATAAAACTGCAGTGTTCTAAAGCATCCATTCACATAAAACTGCAGTGTTCTAAAGCATCCATTCACATAAAACTGCTAGCAGGCTAGAGATTATGGATGTAATATTTCAAAAGGTTCTCCTGGGTTCTCTTCACCAAAGTGACCATGAACATGTCTCTCAAACTCTGCCTGAGGCAGGTCAAAGCTGAAGCTGGCACTACACATGGGACACAGCCTTTCTGGTGACGACGGATGCGCCTTCATCGTTTCTGGCGGGTTCTCGTCATCAAAGCACTCAAAGACGTGCGTCTGGAACTCCTCCATGCTCACCTGGCTGTAATCGTTGTTGCACACAGGGCAGAGTTTGTCAGAGTTCAATCTAGAGGCTGATGGATCGGGGTCAACGGATGAGGAAGTCGATGAGAACATGCCTTGATTTCCAGAAGCGTTAACATACACAACCTCCTGATTTGCTCCAGTTGCCTGGAAAGTCGCATTGTGAGCCAGAGGTGGAGGAGGCATTGCTATCTTGCCTCCATCAACAATCTGTTGTGTACGTTCTTGGCCTTCTTGATAAGCTGAAGATAACTTATAGATCTGCTGAAGGTGAGTTTTTGCAGAATTCACATTCATATTGCTGTAGTTCGCTGCGTCACTATTATCAATCATCACCTGAACAGCATTTCCATTCAACATATACTGCCCATGAGTCTCTGCAGGTTTCATGTTCGCCTCATTCATTCTTCCTTGTGTCTCCTGCATGGTCAACCTTGGGGACTGATACCTCTGAGCCTGATTCAGCATCAACCCCGGCTCTGGTTCTGACTGATTAAATGTCATGAACTCACTCGAACCTTTCCCACCAAGCATGGCACTGTTGTTTGCCGAAGTCAAATTCCACTGTCTCATTTGCCAACCAAGATTGTCAGATTTACTATTGCTTTTATCTTGACCGAGCCCTTCATGTGTATTGCGGTTGCCCACAACTTCAGACTGTGACTGTTTCTGCTGAAACATTTTTTGCTGTGCTGTCTTTGCAGCTTCATACACACCTGAAGCTGTTAATCCTATATTTCCTCCATTCAGCGGACTCCCATCTCCAACATTTTGCTCTTTCAAAAATCCTGGCGGGCTATGTCGTTTATCTGTACTAAAATATCCATTTCTGTTATTCACACCTGCCACCTGCCTATTTGGCTCTAATAATCCGGCGGCAGGAGTTGGCAGAGGGCAGGGTAAATTGAGAACATCCATGTTATATGTTTCACTGAGCATCTCCCGAGAGTTTGATTTCCTTCGGGCTATACCCTCCTTGAGAAAATCACTGCCATTGAGTGACTGCGTTTCAAAAACAGTTTCCCTGGGACTTCCAGACTTGAAACCAATAGGCTGGTTAGAATGTGCAAGAGAAGACCTCTGAGGAAGAGCAACAAAAGCTGATTCGCCGCTGAATAAACCGCTGCCTCGCAACCTGGGGCTGGAAGACTTTCTTGCTGCTACAGGATCGTGTTCCAAGGCGCCGTCAGTATTCACAGCTGGAGAAGACATGGACATTGATTTTGTGTTGTTTGGTTGCCCTGAAATGAGAAATATACAAACTGTTATACACAGTGATCACTCGTGGTTGGGGTCAGGCAACATACAAGAGTTATACAAACTGATCTCTAGTGGTTGGGGTCTTGCAACATGAGTTATACAGTGATCCCTAGTGGCTGGGGTCAGGCAACATACAAGAGTTACACAAACTAATCTCTAGTGGTTGGGGTCTTGCAACATATAAGAGTTACACAAAATTATCTCTAGTGGTTATAAGAGTTATACAGTAATCCCTAGTGGCTGGGGTCAGGCAACATACAAGAGTTACACAGTGGTCCCTAGTGGTTGGAGTCAGGCAACATACAAGAGTTACACTGTGATTCTTCGTGGTTGAGATCAGGCAACATTTCAGAGTTAAACAGTGATTCCTCAAGTTTGGCAACATACAAGAGTTACACAGTGGTCCCTAGTGGCTGGGGTCAGACAACATACAAGAGCTACACAGTGGTCCCTGGTGGTTTGGGTCAGACAACATACAAGAGTTACACAGTGGTCCCTAGTGGCTGGGGTCAGACAACATACAAGAGCTACACAGTGGTCCCTGGTGGTTTGGGTCAGGCAACATACAAGAGCTACACAGTGGTACCTAGTGGCTGGGGTCAGGCAACATACAAGAGCTACACAGTTGTCCCTGGTGGTTTGGGTCAGGCAACATATAAGAGTTATACACAGTGATCCCTCGTGGCTGGGGTCAGGCTACATATCAGAGCTAAACAGCGAATTTTTTTGTTGGGGTCAGGCAACATAGAAGAGTTATATGAAGTGATCTCTAGTGGTTGGGGTCAGGTAACATATAAGAGCACACAGTGGTCCCTGGGGTCAGGCAACACACAAGAGTTACACAATGATCCCTCATGGTTGGGGTCAGGCAACATATAAGAGAATAATAAATGCAGTTCAGCTGGTAGAGCATTAAGTTCTGGTCTTGGGGGAGCCAGACATTTAAAAAAAATGATTTTGGCTCCCAGATCGACCCAGCCCAAAATGGGTACCAGGTAACGTCCTGGGAAGTAAAGGCTGCCAGCATGATGTTGACCACATCACTTAGGGAGTGCCGATTGGTCTGTAGAACATACGTCTAGCCCTAAATGCCCAACATGCCTGCAGGCGTAGAAACGGGTCCTTTACTTATTGCTCACACATTACTTCATTACTTTATAGACGGTAAACATTTTGGAACTCCTCTCAAATTATCCCCCAACCTTACCCACTCAACCTCAAATATTACTTTGAATCTTGCTCCTCTATAGCTTATCCAATTAACCCACTAAAATTTACAGATTGAGTTGAGTCCAGAATTGACTTCACAGCACTCGGGTCATTGTGTGCTTCGTCCTTATTTTCAGCAGCCAGCGCAGGGTTTCAATACTGATGGTACCAATTATTATTTACAGATTATAATCTCTAAACCGCCAACTGTGAGATTGAAAGTACTGTGGCAACTATTGTTCTGAAACTACTAAAAATGTTAGAATTAGACTAATGAAATAATTGTTGTTGTTGTTTATCTGCATGCTTCAACAGTGTAGAGAAATGAATCCAGTGAAATGTGACCAAAAAGCTTAAAAAAATGGAGAATGAAAAGGAAAAGCAGGACAATGTGCACACACACACACAAAACACAAATCAACATTTTGGCCAGTGCCTTTCTCAATATGAACTGACTAAACAACCACAACAAAGGGGAGAGTTTTCCAACAAAAAGCTTACATAAATGGGGAACGAAATGGGAAAGCAGGACAATGTGCATCAAAAGAACCAAAAAAAAAAACACAAATGAACATTTTGGCCAGTGCCTTTTTCAACATAAACTGACTACACAACCACAACAAAGGGGAGAGTATTCCAACCAACAGCGCCCACATGAGAAACTATAATAAGAGGATGTGGAGTGAATAAAATAAAATAAATCAAATTAAAGGAAGGCTTGAAAAAAATTCACATTTCCCAGTGTCATGTTTGCCTGGCTGCATGAGCGGAGGAGAGAATTCATTCAACCTGGCAAACCTTCCAAGCAGACATGAAACACCAAGAGGCTATATAAAGGCAAGAGGACTGGCTTTCATTGCACCAGGTTTTACCCCCATGAGACTGAGCCTTTCTCTCCACAGATTGGCTGGTCACCAAAAGTGTTGCACAAAGCACAAACTCCATAGCTCCAATAATGACGGCCAGAACACTTGTACTTATCAACCCAAAAAAAGTCTGAAACTAAATGCCTAACCTCCCCATGTGGGTTTCTATGAAAGGGGGATAACAAAATAGACCCTCTGCCATCCCCCTGCACCCCCCCCCCCCCCAACAATACATACACACACTAGCATGTCATAGCAGGCGACTAATTAGGCGTGTTTCCTTCAAAATCAGAATGCACCTGCCTGAAAAGTGAGGAACTAACAGTCTGCATACTAATAAACCAGATCTGTAAAACAGATGTGCAAACAAGCATCAAGTTCTGCAACAAGACCAAGTCAAAAAGTGTACGAATAACCAGAATGTTCTACCAGAGTGTACAGCCGGTGAACCAAAAGAAGAAATCCTAAACTATCAAAATGAGCACAAGATAAATGGCTTCAAACGCAAGTGAGTAAAGGACCCTTTCCCCCACCATCAGGTGTATTAGAGATATATGGCTAGATCTATATTTAATAGACCAATATGAACTTTGTGGGTGATGTGTCAACATCATGCCGCCCACTTTTACATCCCAGGATTTTTACCTGGCAGCAACTCAAGATTGGGTCAACATGGCAACAAAAGCCATTTTGTTTTAAAGAGAAAAAGAATGGCTGCGTGAGGACCTGACCCCCCATGATATTCGGAGCCGCAGGCGAGCATCTAGCTGCTAAACTATTGCGGCTTCCGATAAATGGCTTAACTCACAATGAGTATAAATTCACATAAGAACATAAGACAAATATGACATCTAGTAAAAGACAGCATACAGTATGTGATAAATTTAAAAAATAACATAATAGAACAACTTTAACACAAATATAACGAAACCCGAGAAAACAACAACAACAAAAAAAGGTGGAAACTGAGTAAAAAAAAAGAAAGAAGAATATAATACTAATATCATGAAACCTGACTAAATTCTACCCCCCCCCCCCCCCTTTCCGCAAAAATTTGAAAACTGACTACAAATTAAAAACACCACAACAATATAATAAAATGTATATAAAACACCATAAGATTATAAGAAACATTTACAAAACTCTACCTAAATCAAATAAAAACATAAACACGTCACTTAAACAAATAATAAATAAATATAAAACCTGACGAAAACTAAAGATGAAACCCGAGTAAATAGAATAAATATCAATATCATTAAGAGGGTCCTTTGCAGAAAGTCGCTCTCATCATGGTCTGTCTGAAATAAACTCGGTCTCTCGCCAGCTCTTCCACCTCATAAACTTTCACACCCAAAGAGTCACTTATATCCTGGTACCATGAGACAAAAACTGAAAACTTGTGACTAAATAAAACACAAATGAAAGAACATACTTAGCTGGAGAAGATACGTTCGCTGTTGTAGCACCGTGCTTTTCAGCCTGTCCACAACTTTATGCAAATGTTCCAGTTCCTGGCTACAGGCTATATTTCCAAGAGACTGACTACCGGATTCAATGGAGGGATCTTTCATAGTTTTATTTTCCAGGTCCAGTCGATCGACAGACTCCTAAGTAGAAAAAGATATTTTTTATGGTCAGAAACAACATGTTGTTGTTACTCCATCACAAGTGATGGGAGCCAGTCTTTCTTTCATCTGGAACACAAAACTATAGCTGACTTCTGTGGGTGTGAACATGACTTATGGTACGGACCCAGAAGGATATTTAGTGATCCCTTCTTTCTATTTCTAGAAGGATCTCTCATTGGCGGCTGGGTCGCCCGTTGGCTAGCCGGTAGACAACTTTGTTCCCGGTCAGGACGGTATTCGGGTCTGTCTCCTTTGAACCCATCAACACTGCAGGAGTCCTTTTCAGGGCTCTTGGTGGCGTGCAATGCCAACAGCCATTTAAACGGTGCAAATAACCTAAGTGTTAATGTCTATATTAGCCTCCCAAGTGTTAATGTCTATATTAGCCTCCCAAGTGTTAATGTCTATATTAGCCTCCCAAGTGTTAATGTCTATATTAGCCTCCTAAGTGTTAGGGTCTAAATTAGCCTCCCAAGTGTTAAGGTCTATATTAGCCTCCCAAGTGTTTAGGTCTATATTAAAGGCTTTAAGTGATGCCTTTTGCTTTTAGAAACACTATATTGTGCAGTTGTGTGGCTTACAGTGAATGCTTTTAACAATGTCATGACCATCCAGTACTAGGGTTAGATTTCTGTGACAGGCTGCCTATTGTTTTTATAAAACCGCTCTTGTGATTTTCAGACTGTGATATGGGAGTCGCACTACAGAAGAAACTGAGGTCTTGCCATGTAATATTTCAACAAAAGAATACACTGTCTCCTACCTTCAACGGATATATGACACATCTTACTGCCTAGCATATTTCACTGCATCTTGTCAAGTTAGTTAGTTCATTGAATTATTATCCTCAATGCACATTGGACAAGCCCATAAGTGTTCAGATCCCATCTTCAATTCTGTATTGGTTTACTATTCTTCTTTGGCTACCTGTGTTCATGTTTAGCAACATCTCTACTGACCTGAAATTCTTGTAGCCTTTTGAAGGAGATGTCAGGCTAACAGGTAAAGCTACTATGAAAGGCAGACACATCAAGGACCAGGCTAATATATGAAAGTTGGACACACCATGGACCACCAGGCTGATATATGAAAAGTGGACACACCATGAACTAGGCTAATATATGAAAGGTGGACACACCATGAACCAGGCTGATATATGAAAGGTGGACACACCATGGACCACCAGGCTGATATATTAAAGGTGGACACACCATGAACTAGGCTAATATATGAAAGGTGGACACACCATGGACCAGGCTGATATATGAAAGGTGGACACACCATGGACCACCAGGCTGATATATGAAAAGTGGACACACCATGAACTAGGCTAATATATGAAAAGTGGACACACCATGGACCACCAGGCTGATATATGAAAAGTGGACACACCATGAACTAGGCTGATATATGAAAGGTGGACACACCATGAACTAGGCTAATATATGAAAGGTGGACACACCATGGACCAGGCTGATATATGAAAGGTGGACACAACATGGACCACCAGGCTGATATATGAAAGGTGGACACACCATGAACTAGGCTAATATATGAAAGGTGGACACACCATGAACTAGGCTAATATATGAAAGGTGGACACACCATGGACCAGGCTGATATATGAAAGGTGGACACACCATGAACTAGGCTAATATATGAAAGGTGGACACAACATGGACCAGGCTGATATATGAAAGGTGGACACACCATGAACTAGGCTAATATATGAAAGGTGGACACACCATGCTGATATATGAAAGGTGGACACACCATGGACCAGCCTGATATATGAGAGGTGGACACACCATGGACCAGCCTGATATATGAGAGGTGGACACACCATGGACCAGCCTGATATATGAGAGGTGGACACACCATGGACCAGCCTGATATATGAGAGGTAGACACATCATGGACCAGCCTGATATATGAGAGGTAGACACATCATGGACCAGGCTGATAAATGTAAGGCGGATATGCCATGGATTAGGCTGATATATGAAAGGCGGACGCACCATGGACCAGGCTGATATATGAAAGGCGGACAATCCATGGACCAGGCTGATATATGAAAGGTGGACGCACCATGGACCAGGTTGATATACCAAATGCTCAACGAGAAGTAAGACATTTGTGAGAACCAAGTAAATTAATCTGTAACCATTACTGGACTGCAAGAACAGCAAGTTAAAAGGGGTGCGGCCAGATGCAGGAAGCCAAGAATTAATAAGAAACCAACATAAGTGTTATCAGCCGCTACACTTGTCGACTAACTATTATAACAAAACACTGAATCATTTCAACTGAATAACCCAAATCACACTGACACTTGTTACACTGTGCATCTTACCAGTCACAGTCTAATATTAACCAAATGATCAACAAAGAAGTCTAAGAATAATTACATGAACATTTTGTTCAAATGTAGGATGAAGCAGCTGAGGACACCAGTTCTGCATTGGTTTATTATTATTCTTTTGCTTCCTGCACAGTGCTCTTCTTCCTTCTTCTTCTTTTGTCGTCTCACTGATACCAGGTTGTAGCCAGTGGCATGGTTTTGTCGTCTCACTGATACCAGATTGTAGCCAGTGGCATGGTTTTGTCGTCTCACTGATACCAGGCTGTAGCCAGTGGCATGGTTCTGTTGTCTCACTGATACCAGGTTGTAGCCAGTGGCATGGTTTTGTTGTCTCACTGATACCAGGTTGTAGCCAGTGGCATGGTTTTGTTGTCTCACTGATACCAGGTTGTAGCCAGTGGCATGGTTTTGTCGTCTCACTGATACCAGGTTGTAGCCAGTGGCATGGTTTTGTTGTCTCACTGATACCAGGTTGTAGCCAGTGGCATGGTTTTGTCGTCTCACTGATACCAGGTTGTAGCCAGTGGCATGGTTTTGTTGTCTCACTGATACCAGGTTGTAGCCAGTGGCATGGTTTTGTCGTCTCACTGATACCAGGTTGTAGCCAGTGGCATGGTTTTGTTGTCTCACTGATACCAGGTTGTAGCCAGTGGCATGGTTTTGTTGTCTCACTGATACCCAGGTTGTAGCCAGTGGCATGGTTTTTTGTCGTCTCACTGATACCAGGTTGTAGCCCAGTAGCATGGTTTTTGTCGTCTCACTGATACCAGGTTGTAGCCAGTGGCATGGTTTTTTGTCGTCTCACTGATACCAGGTTGTAGCCAGTGGCATGGTTTTGTCGTCTCACTGATACCAGGTTGTAGCCAGTGGCATGGTTTTTGTCGTCTCACTGATACCAGGTTTGTAGCCAGTGGCATGGTTTTGTTGTCTCACTGATACCAGGTGTAGCCAGTGGCATGGTTTTTTGTCGTCTCACTGATACCAGGTTTGTAGCCAGTGGCATGGTTTTGTCGGTCTCACTGATACCAGGTTGTAGCCAGTGGCATGGTTTTGTTGTCTCACTGATACCAGGTTGTAGCCAGTGGCATGGTTTTGTCATCTCACTGATACCAGGTTGTAGCCAGTGGCATGGTTTTGTTGTCTCACTGATACCAGGTTGTAGCCAGTAGCATGGTTTTGTCGTCTCACTGATACCAGGTTGTAGCCAGTAGCATGGTTTTGTTGTCTCACTGATACCAGGTTGTAGCCAGTAGCATGGTTTTGTCGTCTCACTGATACCAGGTTGTAGCCAGTAGCATGGTTTTGTCGTCTCACTGATACCAGGTTGTAGCCAGTAGCATGGTTTTGTTGTCTCACTGATACCAGGTTGTAGCCAGTAGCATGGTTTTGTCATCTCACTGATACCAGGTTGTAGCCAGTAGCATGGTTTTGTTGTCTCACTGATACCAGGTTGTAGCCAGTAGCATGGTTTTGTCGTCTCACTGATACCAGGTTGTAGCCAGTAGCATGGTTTTGTTGTCTCACTGATACCAGGTTGTAGCCAGTAGCATGGTTTTGTCGTCTCACTGATACCAGGTTGTAGCCAGTAGCATGGTTTTGTCGTCTCACTGATACCAGGTTGTAGCCAGTGGCATGGTTTTCTGTATTTATCTTGCGTTTCTCTGGCAACTTGGGTGATGGATTTATTCATATTTTTTTTGGCAGGTTTCAGCCACATCATTTATCCATCTAGATGGATAAAAGGCTATCTTTCTTGATCTTCCTCGCCTTCCTCCTAGATGTTCTACTGTAAAATGTCTGATTTGCAGTCTGTTCTGAGTGCATTCTCACTAGATCAGCGAACCATTTAATTCACTGTCTGTCAATTTACTTGGAGTCTGATCACAGTTACAGATTCACAGTAATTATCTGTTTCTTGCAAACATCTCATATGGAAACCGGTATATCAGCCCAATCCATCGCCCATGCGTCCTCCACAGAAGCCTTACCTGCAGGCCTATCAGCTATTTTATTTCACATTAAACCTGCATACCCGGCACAAAAATAAAACTGAACTATTTGTATTTTTAAGAAGACTAACATTATGCAGTCTTGGTAATCTTGCTTTCAGCTTCAAAGCAAATGGGTCACCTCATAGTTGCTCCCCTCCAGTGCCAAAGAAAAACACACACAGAATGTACATCACTGTTCCTTGTTGAAAAATGGACACACACTGCAGTCTCAGCATATATACCAGCATACACTCGCATTAAAAGCATAAGGCAGCCAACAGAAGTGCTAACACAAACAGTCCAACATTAGAACTGCAGTTCATCACTGATGGAAGCAGCAGATACACACAGATCAGCAGTTGCACACAAGATCACAACACCACATTGGTCACATTACACAAACCTTCAGAGTGTTGATCTCTGTCTTCTGCTTGACAATTTCTTCCTTCAGCTGTGCCACTAGCTGGGCGCTGTAGTTCTGACTCTGCAGCTGTTCCTGCATCGCCTGCAAGTTTCTGTGTGCCTCCTGGAGAGCTGTATTCAGGGACTCAATCTTGCGCAGAAGCTGGCAGTTGTTTTCCTGAATCTCTCGCAGCTCACTTGTTAGACGTGCAACATCATCTAGAGCCTTGTCTCTCTCTTTCACTGCAGAAGCAACTCTAGGGAAAGTAAAGGTAAAGGTAATCCCATAGTGGTAAATGCCATTAGTGTGAGGTAAAGGAAATGATAATCCTATAGTGGTTATTGCCATTAGTGTGAGGTAAAGGAAATGATAATCCTTCAGTGGTTATTGCCATTAGTGTGAGGTAAAGGAAATGATAATCCTTTAGTGGTTATTGCCATTGGTGTGAGGTAAAGGAAATGATAATCCTTTAGTGGTTATTGCTATTGGTGTGAGGTAAAGGAAATGATAATCCTTTAGTGGTTATTGCCATTGGTGTGAGGTAAAGGAAATGATAATTCTTTAGTGGTTATTGCCATTGATGTGAGGTAAAGGAAATGATAATCCTATAGTGGTTATTGCCATTAGTGTGAGGTAAAGGAAATGATAATCCTTCAGTGGTTATTGCCATTAGTGTGAGGTAAAGGAAATGATAATCCTTTAGTGGTTATTGCCATTGGTGTGAGGTAAAGGAAATGATAATCCTTTAGTGGTTATTGCTATTGGTGTGAGGTAAAGGAAATGATAATCCTTTAGTGGTTATTGCCATTGGTGTGAGGTAAAGGAAATGATAATTCTTTAGTGGTTATTGCCATTGATGTGAGGTAAAGGACATGATAATCCTTTAGTGGTTATTGCCATTAGTGTAAGGTAAAGGAAATGATAATCCTTTAGTGGTTATTGCCATTGGTGTGAGGTAAAGGACATGATAATCCTTTAGTGGTTATTGTCATTGGTGTGAGGTAAAGGACATGATAATCCTTTAGTGGTTATTGCCATTGATGTGAGGTAAAGGACATGATAATCCTTTAGTGGTTATTGCCATTGGTGTGAGGTAAAGGACATGATAATCCCATTGTGGTTATTGTCATTGGTGTGAGGTAAAGGAAATGATAATCCTTTAGTGGTTATTGTCATTTGTGTGAGGTAAAGGACATGATAATCCTTTAGTGGTTATTGCCATTGATGTGAGGTAAAGGACATGATAATCCCATTGTGGTTATTGTCATTGGTGTGAGGTAAAGGAAATGATAATCCTTTAGTGGTTATTGCCATTGATGTGAGGTAAAGGACATGATAATCCCATTGTGGTTATTGTCATTGGTGTGAGGTAAAGGAAATGATAATCCTTTAGTGGTTATTGCCATTGATGTGAGGTAAAGGAAAGGACAATCCCATTGTGGTTATTGCCTGTGGTGTGAGGTAAAGGACATGATAATCCCATTGTGGTTATTGTCATTGGTGTGAGGTAAAGGAAAGGACAATCCCATTGTGGTTATTGCCTGTGGTGTGAGGTAAAAGGAATGATAATCCCACAACCATAAACAGCCAATTTACAGAAAGTGTGTCTAGAAAAGTATTCAAAGTTATGTTTTTAGCTCAAGTGTGCCTGGAAAAGTATTCAAAGTCATGTTTTTAGCTCAAGTGTGCCTGGAAAAGTATTCAGTTATGTTTTAGTTCAAATGTGTCTGGTAAAGCATTCCAAACTCATGTTTTTAAAGAAACCGTTGACTGGTTAAAAATTAGTTGAAGCATCAAAGAAGAAAAAAAACAGTCTCTGTTGGCCAAACTTTTAGATTTCCACATCAACATACAACTGGCATAGGCGATCAAGCATCTCCACAGATCATGATCCCTGGTTGCCTGGAACAGCTCTCTTAATGATATCCCTCTATGCCATCGCTTCTAGCCATCCAGCATCATCTCTCTTGGTCTGCCTCTAACCCTTTTCTTACTTATCTTCCCAGTTGTCACGATGTTCTCCATATGAACAAATGGGAAACAAAAGTGCTGAACTACATGTGGCAGTGCAGCAAGGCCAGGGCTCATTCTGGTTACCCGCCTACGCCTCTCTGTTGTCATCCTAGAAACAGATCCCCATCCGAGAGTTTGGCCAAGGTAATCAAGACCAATGCACCTCCTTTCAAAGTCTAAGTGCGTTTGCCTGTGAGGAGAGGAACCAACAGTCTGGCCGGCTCACTGCACTCAGAGAAAAGGCAAGACGGACAGATAACCAGATTGTGACCGGTACCATCAGTATTAGAACTCTGCGCTGGCTGCTGAAGATAAGAACAGAGTATGCATGTGAATTCCCCGAGTGCTGTGATGTCAATTCTTGACTCAACTTAACTCAACTTAGACTGAAAATTTAAAAAAAAAAAAAAAAAAAAAAAAAAAGAATGTGCATGCAAAACTCAACTTCTCGAATAAGACCAAATTCCTGAAATGGATAAACAACCTGGACTTTTCACTAGAATTTACAGTTTGTGAATGAAATGAAGAATAATAAAATACACCAATAAACAAGACAAATGGAGACTCACCTACTGGCCCATCCTTCAGATTTATACAGGGATGCCTGCAAGACTGTGACCTGCCTTTGCAGGTGCTTGATGTGAGCATCCTTGACATGCTCCCCCATGCTCTCATTTGCTGGAGACCCTGAAACAGAGACATCGGTAATAAGCCACTGAAGCTGATTCTTCTTCTCTTCCACCTTGTACCTCACTGAAGTGTCAGGGGGAGATCTAATGTACGTTGATGAGCTGTCAAAAGCACTATTAAGACGGATGTTCATTTCCGTTAGGCTGTTCTTAATGCCATCACTCCATTTTTTCTGAGGTCTTCCACTGGCTCTATACCCGTTGTAATATTTTAGTGTGGCTCGCTGTAGCAGATAGTACCAGGGCATTCTTGTTAGGTGTCCAAACCTGAATAACAGAACAAAATTCTCCTCCTCTTCTTCAGGTTTATCAGCTGTAAACTATAGCAGAATGTTCTGGATGTTCAACCACTTCTGGACTTGGGTCTTATTCCAGCAGGTCAGTTTTGTGTGCACTTTCATTTTACAGTTCTGGATTATTTGTAAGCAGACTGGCAGAATGCCTCTCAGGCAGATGCTCTCCGAAGGAAATAAGAAGAAGGAAACATCCTCAATTGGTCAACTCTCAAGACTTGCTTGTCAGGGAACAGTGGGCCCATTCTTGTTTTCACCCAAAATGGGTCCCCAGAACCCACTCAGGGAAACAGAATTGGTTTTAGATGTTGGGCAACATTATGCTTGAGGGTACAAGCTAATTACCGAGCAAAACTTTATTTTCAAAGGGTTAAGAATTGGGCATGCAGGCCTGTCCAACATTCTGCCCTTCTAGTCTCCTGCCTCTCAGACATTATTTCCTTTATAAATCAAGTAATAGTTAACATTATCAATAACATCAAAATATTCAGTTCAAGCACTATAAAGTGCACATTTCTAACTACAGTGAACCATAGCTGGGTAAATGAGACTGGCTACCTAAGTGGGTAAGTGGATATTTTGGGCTGGGTGGACGCCTGGGTCAAGGACCCCATTACAAAGATCATGAGGGGCCAGGAGGGCCAGAATGCTGTCAAAATGGGATTTATCAATGACACATTACATTACAACTAAAGACAGCTTACCATCAAAGTAGGAATTATCAATGATACATTACATTACAACTAAAGACATCTTACCATCAACCATCAAAGTAGGAATTATCAATGATACATTACATTACAAATAAAGACATCTTACCATCAACCATCAAAGTAGGAATTATCAATGATACATTACATTACAACTAAAGACATCTTACCATCAACCATCAAAGTAAGAATTATCAATGATACATTACATTACAACTAAAGACATCTTACCATCAACCATCAAAGTAAGAATTATCAATGATACATTACATTACAACTAAAGACATCTTACCATCAAAGTAGGAATTATCAATGATACATTACATTACAACTAAAGACATCTTACCATCAACCATCAAAGTAAGAATTATCAATGATACATTACATTACAACTAAAGACATCTTACCATCAACCATCAAAGTAAGAATTATCAATGATACATTACATTACAACTAAAGACATCTTACCATCAACCATCAAAGTAAGAATTATCAATGATACATTACATTACAACTAAAGACATCTTACCATCAAAGTAGGAATTATCAAAGAGGCTAGGGACACTGCTGCTAAGAGGGTTTTTCAAATCTGACAACATCTGTTGCAGCATTGTCTCTTTCTTCTTGCTTTCCTCTAACTCTTTTTGCAGTTTCTCAACAACCTGGAAAATGTAAGCAAATTATCAAGTTTTTACAAGGACCAGAAAAGGAAAGTATGCTCAACCACACTCCTTGCCTTGATTCCGAAAAGGTGGATTAGATATCTAGCTATGTCAGTGTCGATTATATACTAGGAGGGTCTGTGTGTATGTTCTTCTAATTTTCTCTGTTATCACTCAATATGTGATAAATCTGTGTTCTAACATGAAGGAAATGTGAATACTGTGTTTGTGAAGAGAAGTGTTCAGTTAGACATGACTTTATGACAAGTCTGGCAAACCAGCGGAAGATTTAACTACACACACGGTGATGCCCACGAAAAATTTAGGAGAAATGAGCTTATGAGCGGAACACCATAACAACAGAGATGAGATGTCTTAGGAGAGCTGCCGGTGTGACAAGAAGAGATCAAATCAGGACTCAAAGATGAGATGTCTTAGGAGAGCTGCCGGTGTGACAAAAAGAGATCAAATCAGGAATCAGAGATGAGATGTCTTAGGAGAGCTGCCGGTGTGACAAAAAGAGATCAAATCAGGAATCAGAGATGAGATGTCTTAGGAGAGCTGCCGGTGTGACAAAAAGAGATCAAATCAGGAATCAGAGATGAGATGTCTTAGGAGAGCTGCCGGTGTGACAAAAAGAGATCAAATCAGGAATCAGAGATGAGATGTCTTAGGAGAGCTGCCGGTGTGACAAAAAGAGATCAAATCAGGAATCAGAGATGAGATGTCTTAGGAGAGCTGCCGGTGTGACAAAAAGAGATCAAATCAGGAATCAGAGATGAGATGTCTTAGGAGAGCTGCCGGTGTGACAAGAAGAGATCAAATCAGGAATCAGAGATGAGATGTCTTAGGAGAGCTGCCGGTGTGACAAAAAGAGATCAAATCAGGAATCAGAGATGAGATGTCTTAGGAGAGCTGCCGGTGTGACAAGAAGAGATCAAATCAGGAATCAGAGATGAGATGTCTTAGGAGAGCTGCCGGTGTGACAAGAAGAGATCAAATCAGGAATCAGAGCTGAGATGTCTTAGGAGAGCTGCCGGTGTGACAAGAAGAGATCAAATCAGGAATCAGAGATGAGATGTCTTAGGAGAGCTGCCGGTGTGACAAGAAGAGATCAAATCAGGAATCAGAGATGAGATGTCTTAGGAGAGCTGCCGGTGTGACAAGAAGAGATCAAATCAGGAATCAGAGATGAGATGTCTTAGGAGAGCTGCCGGTGTGACAAGAAGAGATCAAATCAGGAATCAGAGATGAGATGTCTTAGGAGAGCTGCCGGTGTGACAAAAAGAGATCAAATCAGGAATGAAGAAAACAGAAACTAGGACTGAAACCAGTCATACAATTGATTAAAGAACAACAAAGGAGATGGTATAGCCACCTGATGAGAATGCCCTGGTACCAACCACATTAGAGAGTCATGCTAAAGATTTATAATGAGAGCAAGGGCAAGACCAAACAAGAGATAAAGCGACATCATCACGAGCAACCTAACAGAAATTGGCACCAACTTGTACAATGCATTGGAAAAAAGCATACAAATGAATCTTACACTTCCCCTAAACACCTCGCTGAGGTAAATGGTGGAAGAGAAGAAGATGATGAAGATCCCTCAATGACAATGCTGAAGATCTAACCAACCTCAGCACAGTAAAACAAACCCCCCAAAAAACCGACCATTATTTTAAAGACTGTATCTAGATTGTGAACCGGACACAACAGACTTCATGGCTATATGTTACTGGTGCCATCAGAATTTGAATTTTTTGCTTGCTGCTGAAGATGGGGACGGAGCGCTTATAGGGATGCCCCTGAATGCTGTGATGTCAATTTTTATTTTAACATGGCCATCTGCATCTCAAGAATACTGAATATGTGCTTCAGAAAGAAATACTCTCTGCATGCAATAGACAGATCCCAGCTCTGGCCAGTTCTCATGCTGGTGGAAAACTAGCTGCATTGATCTGTGGAGTTTCCGTATGTGAACATGAGTATGTACTGTTAAGTAAACTATGGAAAACTACTGAGTGTCAAATTGCTTAGTTAAACCGCAGAACATCCAACAACTATCACGGCTGGTTTCTGAAGTCCCGTAAAGCAATGGTTCCCAAAGTGGTCCACAGAACAAATTTCAGTGGTCTATGAGTGTAATGATGAGATTTCCCAAAGGGTTCCTCATGGTAAGGTCAAGGGTCAGTCAAGTGATTAAAACCCGAGAAGGGAACACTTGCAAATTCCTGTGTTTGACTGAACTGTTGAAATGTGACCACCTATGGAAGCAGGAGGAAGGTTTAAAGGTGAGAGAGGAGATCGAGTTAGTTAGTGTTTGACAGCTGAAGTGAGTGGTCCAGTTCTGCGAGAGGTATGACTGTTATGTAGTATAAGTGACGACTGAGTCAAGAGGTTCCTGATTCCTGAGGATGAGTGCTTCAGGAGAAGCTATCTTGATTGCCACCCTGAACGACTGTAAAGGATTGTGGCACTGTGTTGGAGATGCAAGTCCCTCGCATGAATGGAACCACTGTAATGCAAGGTAATAACAGTCTGAGCGCTGTGTGTGAGTAATATAACCACTGATGTTGGATCCTAGTATGATGAGTCAGAATAGAAGACAGTGCCTAGATGATATTATTGTTGGAACTACAAAAAGAGAAGAAACTGTCAACTGGTGTCACGTCAATATATGTGTGTCTTCGCTATCTGAATGAGAAGACATCCTCAACTTCGATGTGGCTAACTAGAGCATAAAGAAAGCAACATTACAATATCATCATTTTGAAGAAAAAAAAAATCAACCTATTTTTGTGTATAGATTCTATGGTTGTCCCATAAGTTTCCATACTTGGGAAAAATTAACAAATCACCAAAGTCATTATTCACAACTCCAGCTGAGTTTATACGTGTTCTTCAACTGAGGCAGACATGGACAAAAATGTGTTTTCAAAGGGAAATGTTAAAAAACTAACATTTTATTCAACCTAGTTTTATTTATGGGAGTTGCAGTGGTGTAGTGGCCAGACGTTCACCTTGTGGATCGGAAGGTCATGGGTTCACTCCCCGACGGAGCCGGACTTCTTTTTCAAAAATGAACTTGGCTTCCAGGTCGACCTTGCCTTGAGTGAGTACTGGATGCAGTCCTAGGAAGTAAAGGCGGTTGGAGTGCTGCTGAACAAATCACCCATCTTGTGCCAATTGGTCTATAAATTATAGGTCTAGCCCTATATGCCCTACACACCTAAAACGTTGAATAGGGTTCTTTACTTTTCATTTTTATTTATTTCATATGCTCTACATGACTACCATTGTTTTGAAAACAGTTATGCTTGTAATGGCATTGGCAATGTTTTATTTTTCCTATGTCTGGTAACTTATGGAACACACAGATTGCATTTGTTTTTGTTTTTTTGTTTTTGTTTGTTTTTTAAACATTATTAAAAAGCAGAGGGACTGACAACAACAAAATTCATAATCTGTTTAAACCACCACTGATCACCGGCACAATGAGAGCTTATACACTGAAATGGTTGAGCCATAACTGAAAGAATGTCAGATGACAGAGAAGTAACAACTGTATACATGAGGGAGATGAATAGTCGTAGATCATGAAGAAGACAATGGAGAGAGAATGTCCAGACAGACCTGCAAACACTTGGTGTCACCAAATGGAAAGAGAAGGGCAACCAGAGAGATGAATGGACGCGGGTGATATCTACAGCAATGAACCTCAAAGGCTCGGAATGCTGAAGAAGAAGGCTAAAGAGAGAGATGAATGGAGGCGGGTGTTATCTACAGCAATGAGCCTCAAGGGCTCGGAATGCTGAAGAAGAAGGCCAACCAGAGAGATGAATGGAGGCGGGTGATATCTACAGCAATGAACCTTGAGGGCTCGGAATGCTGAAGAAGAAGGCCAACCAGAGAGATGAATGGAGGCGGGTGATATCTGCAGCAATAAACCTCAAGGGCTCAGAATGCTGAAGAAGAAGCAGAGGGTCTGTGGCAGACCTTCAAAAATAAAAGGGGGAGGGGGCCTCATATCTTATCAAACTGGGAACCACTGCAGTAAAGGATATGCAGCTACCTTTATAGGTTAGTACTTATTTGCAGATAGGGTTTTTCCACAGCTTCTTATCTCCAGCAAAACATACAAGTGTGTCAACAGAGATAGCATATCAACATTTTATGTTCAATCAGGTATTCAAATTATTTGTCCTTTTTCTGTTTTATGGAGCAAGTTTCATCTACATTTTATGTTTAATCTGGGATAAAAATTATTTGTCCTTTTGCTGTTCTATGGAGCATTTACGATACATTCATTCATTCATTCAGTAGCATGTCCCTCGAGGAACCTCGCTGCCATAACAACCCTCCGGAAAACCTTCCTATCCTGAGCAAGATGTCCTGCGTCTGATATACCCATCTCGAGATCATCTGCCACATCCTGCACCCATCTTCTCCTTGGCCTTCCTCTTTCTCTCTTCCCAGGCATATACCCCTCCATTATTGTTCTCTCTAGACTTCCATGACGTTTCAAGTGACCAAAATATTTCAATTTTCTTTGTTTTATTGTCTTTACTAGCCAACCCTCTTCAATATTCAGCTCTTGAAGTATGGATGCATTTGTTCTTTTCTTTACCCAAGATATTCTTAGAACCTGTCTGTAACATTTATATTCAAATGCATTTATGCCCTGTTCCGCTTGTTTAGTAAGTGTCCAGGTATCACAGGCGTATGTTGCAATGGGAAAGATGCATGCTCTTAAAAATCTGACCTTTGTAATTCTATCTGTACAATTCCATAATTTATTCAGTTGTTTTAGTCTTTGAAGAGCAATTGATAGTCGCCGTTTAATTTCTTTCATTGTGTCACCATTGTTGGTAACCAGTGACCCAAGATATTTGAAATTTTCCACCACTTCCAATCTTTCCTCATTAACATATATTTCCTTCTCCATGGCAGTTTTGTTTGTATGCATTATCTTTGTTTTTGCTATGTTAAGAAATAAGTTATGATTTTCATTATTTCTTTGGAGTGAAGTTAATAAGTTTTCTAAACCATTTTGTGATGTTGATAGTAATACTGTATCATCAGCATAACGAATTTCTGGTATTTCATGACCACCGATGTTTAGGGCATCATATTGTTCCTTGTTTATATCATCTCTTACATTTCTCATTATATTTTCGGCGTACAGCTATTTACGATACAAAGAAATCAAATATGAAATATCTTCTTCTTTGGCTGTCTAGTCTGATGCAGCAGTCAGTGAACTCCCCTTTTATTTCTTAATCTTCAGCTTAAATATCTGCAGAATCAAATTGACCAGCTAACCAACCAGGCTCTTCTCCAGTTGATCCCAGACACACATAACATTATGAGAAACAAAAGTGCCCACGTTAGCCCAGTCGATAGAAGGCTCGCTTTCAAATCCAGCTGCGACTTGCTGCAGCCCACAGCCGGTGTTCGAAACCGGGCGGCTCTCTGGGTTCACCCAGCCTCTAGGAAATGGGTACCACAGTTGACGCTCTGGGGTAAATGGAGGAACGCTGCAGTAGTCACAGAGTTCCAGGTGGACGATGACACAGGTGGACAGTTTCTTATCAGCTGTCCGTACTGGTGGCAGAGCACTTATGGTTTATAACTGTGTGCAATGACGCTGGTTCATATCTCTCGACTTTACCTTTTTTTTTATTTTTGAAAGTGCAAATGACTTTGCAAAAACTGGGAGCAAGACAGAACAGCCAAATGCAGGATATGCTTGTGATGAAAATAAAACTCGGATCAAGGCGGTCATTAGTTTTTTTTAAAAAAAAAGTAAAGATCCCTGTTCATGCCTTAGGAGCATCGGATATATGGGAAGAGCGTCCCATATTTTTACAGACCAATCGGCACTGGATGGGTAATGGGGTCAGCATTACGCCAGAAGGCGGTCATTAGAACCCATGAGAAAACTTTCCATTTAGAATACAGCCCCAAAGCCTCAATCAATCTCCTCTCATAAAAGAAGCAGACCAGCATATTTAGATGGCCAACTGGGCACAACAGACTCCACAGCCATACATACAAGAAATTAAATACGGAAGTTTAGAATGTTGCTCTCTTCATGCAGTAGGCTTGGCTCATCAGCATTCTGATGGAAACCAAGCTGTATGATTTAGTGAGGGACATGCATCACACTACGACCTTAACAGAGGCTTGTGGCCTCCTCATATGAAAACCACTGAGAGGAAGAATGAAAAGAAGAATTAAAACAGACTTCTTTATATTTTAGCTTCTAGTCCCATTGGAGCACAAATGTTCAAGCATCAGCATCAAAGCCATTTTGTGTGTGTGTTGTTTTAACCCCACCAGACCGCTGGCCCCATTTTCCGGGAATTTCCTAACCTGCCGCTATACCGCTGGCCCCATTTTCCGGGAATTTCCTAACCTGCCGCTATACCGCTGGCCCCACTTTTCCGGGAATTTCCTAACCTGCCGCTATACCGCTGGCCCACTTTTCCGGGAATTTCCTAACCTGCCGCTATACCGCTGGCCCACTTTTCCGGGAATTTACGTAGTACGTGAAAAATATGTGTCAGACCAAAAATAACCAGCCAATCGCCATCAAACTAGCTGTTAGCCATTGATTGCCAATGACTTCCCTTCCCACGTGTGCTGAGATTTCTTTGTGTGGTTTGATGTGAAAAAAATTAGGAAAATTCTCAATGAAACGAGCGGCTTCGACAAGAAAGTGACGTAGGTCTAGGCTTTTCACAGTCAAACAGGTGATCAATACTTTGGTTAATTCAGACTGTGAATACGTTCATGAAGAATATGTTCCCAGTTAAAGTGACACAATCAGTGAGAGCTAGAATGAGGAGGAGAATTATGAAAATTATAGATTTAAAACTAGATCGATAGTAAGAGAAGGGGGCGTGTCCCTCAAACAGCAACATCTAGTGCTTACTTTGTAAAACAAGACTGATCCTACTAGGTGGATTGGCACACAAAGGTGGAAGATTGGTGCTAGATTAAAGGTAAACCTATTTTCTACAATGTCTCCAGGTTTTATCTTATTCTAACCACTTGTCTGCATGTAACTAATTTTTTTGTACATTATGTTGGTCTTTTTGTGTTAGTGCCCAGGAGCTCAGGTTAAAGGGACAGTTAGTTTCAGGGCCTCAGGTCTGGCAGGGTTGAGGCCCAGGCAGTGTTTTCCATTTCAATGCTACATTATGTTTGTGTCTGCTGATTATTAATTAAAAAATGTAGACAAATAAATTATTCACAAATGTATCCGTGACCTGTGTTTTTGAAAAAAATTGTAAGGGTTTTTAAAATGATTTTTTTAATGCAATTCCAATGGGTTCATAACACAATTTGTGTAACTATTGCCAGGGTGAGAGAGTTAAGAAGAATCATCCCCAATAAGTGCTTGAGATTCGGGACCAGTGTTGTCATCACATATATCTGACATGCTACTTCTAATACGCTCAGCTCTTAACCATACTGCAATCATTTTCTCTTATGGTATAACCATGCTAGGAACGCCTTCTATTCTATAATGCCAATCTTATTCATAAAATCATATCTAAAAACTCTCCATTATTAACTATGAAATCAGGTACAAAGGAATAACTGTATGCAAGGAGCGGAGTGGAAGGGCAGAATGTTAGACTGGCCTTTGTGCCCAATTCTTAATGGTAACCCTTTGTTGTTCATTTGTTCATTCTCCTTTACCCCTATTCCCTTGCTACTAACCTTACTGTAATCCTGGTAGGAACCTGGGCTCCCAGGTGCAGTTTCCACAGAAGCATTCAACTTCTTCAACTCAGGAGACTCCTGGGTTTTCTGCTGGGGTTCGTACAATTCGTAGGAGCCTTTAGCTGCATTTCTGGTCGGACTCGGATAAGCCATCCTCCTCAAATGATGCACCGCCGGTGGATACACAGCCTCATGTTGAATGTTATTCGACATAGAAGAGGATGATTATTAACGTCACAACTGTTGAGACAGAATTTCAATAAGTTGGTGAATATATATATATATATATCTCCTTGTGTGTGTTTAGGGGCTACATGGGAGAAAAGGGTTGGGGGGAGCATGTCATAAGTGTCTACTAATTAGGGGATTTCCTCAAAGTTGGAGTGCATCTGTCTAAGGCAAGAAACCAACAGTCTGCATAAAAAGCCAGATCTATGAAAGCGATGTGCAAATAAAGGTCTTCTTCTTCTTCTCTTCCACCTTGTACCTCATCGAAGTGTCGGGGGGAGATGTAATGTTTGTTGATAGCTCTGTCAAGAGCACTATTAGGCCTGATGCTCATTTCTGTAAGGCTGTTCTTAATGCCACCACTCCATCTTTTAAAGGTCAACTTGTGTAAAAAAAAAAAAAAAAAAAAAGTAAAAGTTAAGGTTCCTGTTACAAGCCTTTAAACTATAGGGCATAGAGGGCTAGACCTATATTCTTTATAGACCAATCGGCACAAGATGGGTGATGTGGTCAGCATCATGCCGGCCACCTTGACTTCCCTGGACTGCACGCGGTACCCACTCAATCCTACGTCGACCTGGGAGTCAAAGTTATTTCAACTTGTGTAACAAGACTAAATTCCAGAAGCGGACGAATGACCAGAACTTTCCCCTGGAGTTTACAGTCAGTGAATGTGAAGAATAAGAAGAAAAAAATATATCAGTCCAGTCAATTATTTGTCTGTTTTTCCATAGTAGCTTTGTGAAAATATCATCATCTCATTCATTTACTCCGACATCTGCACATCCCTGGAAGAAATAAATTAGGCTGGTGTTTGTCAGCTCTGATTTCTTTGGGCGCTCCAACAAATGATTCTGAGCGCAGCCTTTTGGGATCCACTCAAGCATACCCATAAAGTCACTAGCAGGCATGCTTGGATGAAAGTCTGGGCATCTAGCCAGACTATGCCTTTATACAGACTGTCTTTAGATAGACAATGTCTTGAGACAGCTAATGTCTTTAGGCAGACTATGACTTTAGACCAGCGGTTCTCAACTTACCGGTTGTGACCCTTTTTTTTTAGGGACAAACGACCCTTTCACAGGGGTTGCCTAAGACTATCTGAAAACACCTTGTTTGGGGGTTGCCACAACATGAGGGAACTGTATTAAAGGGTCATGGCATTAGGAAGGTTGAGAGCCACTGCTTTAGACAAACTGTCTTTAGACAGAATATGACTTTAGTCCGACTACGTCTTCAGACAATAAAACCGGCATTTCATACAAGGTCACAGAGTCCCACACAATCAAGAAAGAAAAAATAGCAGCATTGTAGAAACCATGCATTACCCATGCAGCCAGCCTTGTTTATTCCAAAGAACAGGTACCACTAGTATGTTTGAAACAAAGCATGCTGTAGAACAAGGCTATTCAACTAGTGATGGTACCGGTCACAAACTGGTTATATGTCCGTCTTGCCTTTCCTCTAAGTGTGGTGAGCTGGCCAGACCCTCTGTTTACACCCAGGTGCCTCATTCTCTCCAGGCCATAATAATCTTGTTTCTATGATTCTGTTGCTTCTTCCCAAAGGTAGATGCGGTCAATGCCTAAAACAGTATTGGAACTCTGCGCAGGCTGCTGAAGATGAGAACGGAACACACATGGGAATGCCCAGAATGCTTGACACAACTCAACTAGTAATGATCTGCGGGCCACTTGTTAGGCCTCCACTGGTCAGACTAGGCCACCAGTTAAAAAACCTTGTTCTGCAGCATGCTTTGTTTTAAACATACTAGTGGTACATGTCCTTTGGAAGGCGTGAAAAAGGGATCTTTACTTTTTTGTTGTTGCTTACTTTACTTTACATGTAGCTGAAGGTGAGAGCCACCATGGTGTGGCGGTTAGACACCCACTTGCGGACCAGAAGGTCATGAGTTCTGCTCCTAGCAGAGCAAGACTTTTTTTTCCAAAATGACCTTGGCTCACAGGTCGACTTAGTCTTGAGCGAGTACCAGAGTTCTACAGTGGTTAGTGTGATGCTGACCAAATTACCAACCCAGTGCAGACTGGTCTATAAAATATAGGTCTAGCCCTATATGCCCTATTCGCCTGAGGGTGTGGAAAAGGGTCTTTTTCTTACCTTGCTTTACCTTAAGGTATATACATATACTAATAAACAAAGTTGGTGAAGTGGCAAATAGAAATGAGTCTCAAATGAGCAGCAATGATTCAATAAATCCATGAACTAAACAGTATTCAGTGTACCTTTTTACTCAGAATGACAACAAAACTATTCAAACACTAAATGGCAGCATCAATACAAATGTTGGTTGTCAAATTAACACACTTACAATCTATCTAATTTCTAAGTATCATCCAGAACTGGACTGGGCAGGTAGCCAAGAAATAAGTAAGAATGAATCACAAGTTACTAAATACGTGAAAATGCAAAGCACCCCATGAACTATTGTAAACTAAACTAATCCCTGCAGGAATGTTAAAACTATGAACCGAGAACGTATGACATGTAGGATTGGCTGCCAAATTATTATTAATTGGGAAATAAAAGTCTAGATAACGAGGAAAATGAATTGAAATGACGAAGATGTCAAAGTGACGACTGGATGGATTGTGAAGAATGACAAATGAAATTAATTAATTATTATATTATATATACAATATATAAATACGCACTTCAGAAATTAAGAATACTGAAATAAGAAAAACGACAATCCGGCTCCCAGCTGACTAAGGGAAAAATAGTCGTGGGAAGAATATCACAGCGATGATTCATAAACACATAAACAATAAGTGTTAATAGTGAAAAGTAATCAACAAATGAACAACTACATCATACACGAATAAACAAATGTTGAGTAAGTCAGAAAGAATGTACACTTCTCTCACAAGTAAAATGAAATCTATCCCGCCAGTTTTCTGATATATTGTCTGGACAATGTATGTGAGACAGCAGATTTAGTTGAGCATTTCTGAAAGCTGAGCAAGCAGGAGATGTTTGGGCATAACTGCGACTCTCTCCAACACCGCCTCCGACGCCATTGAGCAATCGCCAAAATGCACTTCCGGCAGGTCGGGTATACACACACATACACATTCAGGTACACACCTTGACTCTAGCAGGGGTTCTCAACTTGTGTCCCGGTCTTGGATAAAGTTATGCACGGCCGACTCTACTTATAATACAGAAGGGTGTGTGTTATCTTATCTTCTTCTTCTTCCTCTTCTTCTTCTTCTTCATCTTCTTCTTCTTCTTCTTCTTCTTCTTCTTCTTCTTCTTCTTCTTCTTCTTCTTCTTCTTCTACTCTTCTTCTTCTTCTTCTTCTTCTTCTTCTTCTTCTTCTTCTTCTTCTTCTTCTTCTTCTTCTTCTTCTTCTTCTTCTTCTTCTTCTTCTTTCTTCTTCTTCTTCTTCTTCTTCTTCTTCTTCTTCTACTTCTTCTTCTTCTTCGCGTTCACCAGCTGTAAACTCTGGTGGAAAGTTCTAGTTGTTTATTCACTTCTCGACTGCAGTCGTGCTCCAGAACTTGAGTGTTGCGTGTGCATCTGTTTGACAGATCTGACTAATTTGAATGCAGACAGGTAGTCCCCTACCTCTCATGCAGATGCACTCCGACTTTGAAGGGAGCTCCCAATTAGTCGACTCTTACGACATGCTTTTGGGTAGGCATTGGGTCTGTTCTTGTTTTCCCTATAATAGAGCCCCGGAACCACATGTTATCACAATCGACATCTTTGCACATTGGGAAATCCTCATATGTGCTCAGTCCTCTGATGCAGCAGCCACTCCAAGATACCTCTACTGACTGTTCCCATGAGGAGTTGGTTATATCCCCTGTTTTTACCTCGAAGATGACATAGACGTGCTTTACCAAGCAAAACTCCTTGGTCATACATGCGTGTTAGCGCCAGAGATTCGTCATTATCCCTCAGCCTCGTCCATACAGCTTTGATGATATCAGCTTTGTCCATTCTTCTTCCCATTTGCATTGGTGCATTACTTGCCAGCTGATCAGCTTTTTCATTACCATTTACTCCTACACGGCCAAGTGTGTAGATCCAGATGATGAAGGTTAACTGCGACTTCCGAATGCTTTCTACCCATTCGCAGCGGAGACTACATGTAGCGTGTTCACAGAGTCTGAAAAGATTACCGCATGTGTGGCCTCTTGCTCTGCTACCCATGCGAGTGCCATGGAAGCAGCAGTTATCTCATGGTTGTGCTTGACGTAGTCATCCGGTAAGCGCCACTATCCTCTTTTATTGTCCCCCCCCCCCCGTCCTTTGTGATGTGAACTCCCAAAGCCTGTCCGGGATTGGGATGAACATCTCCAGGATGGAAATCAGACAGGTACAAAGCCCGGAAACTCCGTTCAGCCGTACAACCTTATTTCATCGTTGTTCTCTAGGACAGCACAACACGGTTACGAAGTATGGTTTGTTTTGGTTTAAACAACAATAAAAAAAAGCCAGCGGGGCCTTCTCCATGACAAGCAGCATGACGATGTAGGTGATGGCGGTAACGCAAGTATTTATATGGCTAAGGACACAAAACTTTACCCGTGCATGTGTATTTAGCGATTCCATCAGCATGGTCTGAAAGATCGAAGAAGGTTCTTTGCGAAAGCAGTGGATTTGATTCGATTTGATTTGATTCAAGAACCGACATCACAGCACTCGGGGCATTCCAATAAGCGCTCCGTCCCCATCTTCAGCAGCCAGCGAAGAGTTCCGATACTAATGGTGCCAGTAGCTTTCTGATTAAACGTCCGTCTTGCCTTTCCTCTGAGCCTTGAGCTTCTGCCAGAACCTCTCGTCACCCCCAACTGCATCAATCTCACCAGACTGTGGTGATCCATCTGCTCCTCCGCATTGTAAACGCTCTCCCACAAGGCACTAACAACGTCTGCCCTATCATGTAGCAGTATTCCACCAAGTTGTGCAGAGCCAGCCAGTCTGTCCGCCTGTTCATTTCCCAACACACCGGCGTG